GTTCCTGGAAATCATTTTATATTTCAGTAGTTAGGGATTTTCATTCAAATGTAGCATAAATACTATTATAAAACTTGATTATTTGACAAAATTCTAGGATATATTTTACTCTGATAACCCCAGAATAGTTGGAAATATCATCATGAGTAAAAATTCAAATTTAAAAATAGAATTATTCTGAGTGTCCAAAATGTTTACTCTTAGAAAACAAATGAACAAGGGGTAATGTTTTCCTGAAAACTAAAGACAAAGTCCATAGGGGCCCGGGAGGTGGTGGCACACAGCTTTAATCCCAGCACTCGGGAAGCAGAGACAAACGGATCTCTGTGAGTTCTAGGCCAAACTGGTCTACAGAGCTAGTTCCAGTAGTTCCAGGGCAGCCAGGACTGTTACACAGAGAAGCCCTGTCTTGAAAACAGGACAACAACAACAACAACAAAAAACCCACAAGTTTGTAGAGGACTAACAGTAATTCTCTTGAAGGTATCACTAGTGTAGTTCTGTTGTTGAGTAAAAGCAGGCTGAATAAAAACTAGAGATGGTGATTGAGTGTCAGTCAGCAGGGTTTTGACCTGAGGGATGGTCGCCACTTGCTCGGCCTAGAACATATACTCTCTGAAGGCAAGGCCAGGGTTTTCCAATAAAGCAGTTCTCGATTTTTTTTCTACCATATACACAATGCAGTGATTTTATTTTTGAGCAAATGGGTGGATTTACGTTTTTAACCCAGGTAGAATGGTAAATGTCTATAATCTCAGCACTTGGGATATAAAGAAGAGGATCATGAGTTCTAGGCCACCCTGAATTATAAGATCCTGTTTCAAACACACTTTAGACAAGTCATAATTGGTAGTTTGAAACCATAGGTGTAAAAATCAAACAAAAGGAAAAAACCTACCTCGTTTATGCTAAAATAAATAAATGTTTGTTGATGAAGGTAGCTTGAATAATACATTGGAAGCATACATGTAATAGGGATGTCATTACATACATGGATTTAGACATCTGCAAAAGTAAATTATTTACTGAGAATTCTAGCCATTTAATTTGTAATTCTATAATATAAACTCTACCACTCACTTTTTTTATACCTTAGGGGTAACTTAGGCTCACAGTCACAGACGGTGATAGATTTGGTGTTTATAACTCAGAGCCTATGACTTTGTCTTTTTTTTTAACATAAGGATTGACATTTTAGGGAAGGAATATTTCATTGTGCAAAAAGAAAAATGAATTTTTTTGTAGCCTGAACTTCTGGAGGTATAGTCTAGGCTCAGAACTGCAGGAAAACATTGTTCAACCCTTAGAATATCAGTTGTTACCCCTTGAGGATTGAGGCCTGATCTAAAATAGTTTGTGTTAGTAGATTCTTCATGCGGCAATCTCATAACATGTAGGTAGGCAGCACTAGTTTTATCCTGAGGCCAATTCTTTGCTGTATCATCAGTTTTAAATTTTTAAAAAAATTAGCATTTTTCTCTTTCAAGTATTGCCACGTAAACCTGTTGACCCTTGAGTTTAATAGTAGTTTAGCCTAAATTTTTGATTCATGTAAAAGCTTAATTTTGTGTATATAATAAAAGACTTAAAAGACAAAAAGCTCACTGATTATCTCATTTCTTGACCAAATATGCCAAAACAGAAGTCATCAGGCAGTAGAAGATTAACTAAGAAAAATTCTTATTACAGTAAAACATTGTTCTGAATTCAGAACTACATGTTGCTAAAAGTTAAGATAAACCAGTGGTTCTCAACCTTTCTAATGCTGTGACCCTTCAATATATAGTTCCTTATGTTGTGGTTACCCCCAACCATAGAGTTATTTAATTGTTATTTCATAACTGTTTTGTTACTCTTGTGAATTGTAGTGTAATACCTGATTTGCAACCACAAAGGGATCGTGACCCACAGGCTGAGAACCACTGAGTCAGACTCTATAAAGTCAATGCTATTTAACAATGGGAGTAGATAGTTTCAGTTTTGAAAATGAGAAATATACATTCTTTTAATTGGTGCTTTAAAAGCATCAGTCTATTTTATGTTAGATTAAAGTTTTAGATAGTGAAGATATCATACAAGCACAACTATTTTAACAAAGCTTCAGAAATCAAATGATTAGGAATGGATACCCAGGCAGAGAAGGTCCTGGGGTCATCAAATAAATAGTTGCCTTAGCTTTTTCTTTTTCTTTTTGATTTTTCAAGATGGAGTTCCTAGACTGTCCTGGAACTCGCTCTGTAGACCAGGCTGGCCTCTTAGTCACAAAGATCCTCCTGCCTCTGCCTCCCAAGTGCTGAGATTAAAGATATGCACAACCACCACACAACAGTTGCCTTAGTTTTTAAATACATTTTTTCCCTCACTTAATGAGCACATGGATCCTTTCTTCAGTGATCCCTGTAGTTGCCTCTGACTCATGGTGTAATTATATTAGTACTGATAGCATTAATTTGCTCAGCACATAATTAGGTGCCAGGCACTGTGTTAAGTACTACCTGTGTATGAATTCACACTCCACATGCCACAGTATTACACTTTCATGTGTAGTGTGCGCATAAGGAAAGTAATAGGCTATTAGGAGTATAGATTGAACACCTTGACTATTTTTATTCTAATTTCACAGTCACCTTAAAAAAAGACCTGTGATTTGTATACATAAGGAAGGTGGCATGCCGAATGACAATGGGCCAGTTCAGGACTATGATGCATCTTCCTAATGGTATTAGGAGTGAGACAAAGTGGCTGGACAGATTCTTTAGTTTTTTTTCAAGCTACTTGAAATAATAAGCATTTTAGACCTTTCTCCTGAGAAAGGACTTTCAGAAGGAAATTTCAGAAGGATTCCCAAGTCTGCATGTGTCCCCTAGACTATTGTCATACTTGTCTCATTGGTCCTGATCTCTCCTGCAATTGCTGTCAGTCTGTTAAGACTTACAGCTATCATTTTCTTGCCTTCAGAAGTGGCCAAGATCCTGAGATTCTATTTATAGCCCTTGCATTATAGTAAACAAAAATTAGGGTTTTTTTTAATTGTTATAGGGTGCTTAATTTTTTTTTTAGTAACTACTGATGTAGAAGACACACTCTGAACTCCTTAACCTGGTTTTATGAAGCTTTTTCAGTTCCTCTCTTTGGTACCTAACACTCTGCCGTACTTAGAACACTTTTTATAATGTCTTCCTGTTTTCTGTGTTATTGTTTAGACCTCTTCCTTTATCCAGCTTCCCAATACATTGTGGATTAGAGAGCAGAATATGTTCCCAGCATGCTGTAGCTTGTGTTGTTTGTTTATAACACGACCAGATCTTAGTTCGTTGTCCAGACTTTGAAATTGAATCTTTGTCTCACTTGTTGACCCTTGAGGTGTTGCCTATATAGAGAGGACAACTAATTAATGTTTATTAGTGAATGAATGAAGTATATAGCCTTACAATATGCAAATTGTAAATGCATGTCTTTATGAAGTTATAAAGTGAAGTTGAGTATCATCCTACTTAGAAATGTACAATTCTGAAAAGAGTGGTGTGACTCGGTAGGGCTTGGTAAACAGCCTTGCAGAATTGAGTTTTCTGGTGGCCTTTGAAAGCTGCAGAGGATATCTGTTTTCAAAAGCTTAAAGCTGAAGTAGGATATGAAATTATCCATTCAATACTATTCTACAGTTTTTAAACTATAAATAAATTTTGTCTTTCTCGTGATCACCTTTTTAATAGGCTTTTTAAAAATTTAAATAGGATTTTTAATAGGCTAGACAAAGTAACACCATGCTGTTCTGTTCTGTTTTGATGAGAGAAGCTGGTAACTGTGTGCTGGTTTTCCTTACTTGTTCTGATTTCTGTTTTTTCTTCCCGAGTTATTTGGGAATAATTGCCCTCCTTAAACTGATCTTCCTTAGAATGTTAATTCTGTTTACTGGCTGTGGAGTCACATACTTATAATCCTATCTTTTGGGAAGCTGAAACAGAGGATAGCTTTGGGTGTCCTCCACTCCCCAGCTGCAGGATATATTCAATTCTGGGCTGGCATTTCTCAGACAAAAGTTCAAGATCAGGGTAAGGGTGTAATTTCAAGGAGTTCCGAGTCATCCTATGTGAAAATCTTTCTTGAAAAAAAGAAAAAGTTCAGTCTGTCAACCACTGTGTCATTACTTAAAACATGGCCTTGAGTGTAGAAAATGAGGAACTGAAAGGTGAAGAATGATTCCAGGAAGGTAGCTGCCCTTGATACTAGTAAATGTGATACTGAACATTTTCTAGAGAACACCAGAGTAGTGCTCATTCATGAGTCTAGATCTAAGAGTATTGTTTTTTCCAGCGATGCCTTATGTGGCTTTTCCTGCTCTTTACGCAGGTTTATGTGTGCTTCCAATGACTGTCTTACCTTTGGGTGCTTCTTGTTTTGTTTTTGATGCTTGCCACAGATGCGCCAGGCACCATGCTTTATACAAGTCATCCAAAAGTTGGTAGCTCATCTTTGCCCATTTCACACGGGGAAGCTGAGACACAGGTGACCTGATATGTTTAGGGTTTTTCCAGAGGTGAAAGGTTATTTACAAGAGCATGGAGACACCACTGATAAAAATGTTTCTCTCTCTCCCTTAATATGTCATCTTTTTTGTGACTAGCTTCTTTGACATTTTCAAAGTTTACCATGTCTCAGTACATTTATTTAAGTCAAACAATATTCCATTGTGTGGATGTACTGAAGATTTCAACCAAGTCTGTCTAGCTCTGAAGTATGTTATTGCTTACATGTCATGTTAATTATTGTGTGTGTACTGCTGAATTAAGAGGTTCTTGAGGAAACACCTTTATGCTTTAGCTGGTACAGTGTTCTGAGTTCTCTGTTCATAATAAGTATTCAGTGCTTTGATATGTAGGCAATAAACTGAAGTTCTTGTTACATTTTTAAATTCATGGTATTGTTTAAAATAACAGAGTCAAGTCTGTTTATCATTCTTTATGAGTACAGAAAACCTAAGCATGTTTTCTCATGTCTAGGAAGAAGAAACAGGAAGGATAAAAGATTGCTGGGACAACCAGGAAGTTCCTGCATTGTCTACATGTAGCAATGCTAATATTTTTCGAAGGATAAATGCCATTTTGGATGATTCACTGGACTTCAGTAAAGTCTGCACAACACCCATAAATCGAGGAATTCATAATCGAGGTAATTGAGATTTGAAAAATGGGCACTAGGCTAGTCCGAAACTACTGCTAAGTAGTGTGTTCTAAAAGTCTTCATTGAGAGGCCTATTAAGAATACATTGAGTGTCTGGCAGTACTCACCCCATTTCATGATTCACATTATGGATTGGTCCCTTTTGTATGTTGAGACTGCCTGTGATTAGAATAAAGATAATCTGTTTTGTGTAATGTACAGGAAGTGTTGAATTAGAAAGACTGAAAGCCATATTTATTTGTGGAGTGGGGGTGGTGCAGACACATAATTCCAGCTCTTAGGATGTGGAGACAAGGAGAAATAAAAGTTTGGGGACTACCTGGACTACATAGTAATTCAAGGTCAGCATGAGGTAACTAGCAAGACCTGTCTCAGAAATACAAAACACAACCACCAAGTGTTAGTCTGAGTTTGAGTCCCAGGACCACAAAAGAGTATAATGTGAGTCATATTATTAAAGACTTGGAGTGCTATTTAAATTGTGGAGCTGGAGACTTGTCTCAGTTGTTAAGAATAGTTGCTGCTCTTGCAGAGGATCTGGATTTGGTTCCTAGCACCAACATCAGGATGCTCACAACACCTGTAACTGCAGTTCCAGGGAATTTGACATCCTATCTGGTCCCTCAGGGCACCAGGCAACACACATGGTGCATGTACATATATTTAAGCACTCACGTATATACATAAAAATAAACCCTTAAAAAAGTTAGAGTTGAAATAAATTTAATATTTAGTTCAGCATACATAAACTAATGTTTTGCCAACATACAACCAGTATAAAAATGGCCTAGTAAGCTGTGTTTCTACTCCATCACTCTCTGTTCTATTCCTCTGAGCATAGGGTCTTTTCTTTCACCAAACCTAGAACTCATTGTTTTTGGTGTCCTCACCCCCAGCTTCCTGATAGACTGGTATAGCTAACAGTACCCAACAATCCTGTTTCCACCATTCCCTAGTACTAACATTACAGGCACATATGGCCACCTATAGCTTCTTGTGTGGATAATAAGGATCTGAACTCAGGTTCTTACGCCTGTGCAGCAATCCTCCTTACCCACCAAACCATCTCCCCAGCTCGGTTCTCTCTTATTAGTACTGACTTGAGAATGAAGTGAATTTATCATAGTTGATTAGTTACATTGAAAAACCACATGTAACTTGTACTAACTGTATTGCATGGTGCAGGTCAACAGACATGAAATTTTCCCATGTAGGAGACTGCTGATCAGTACGGGAGGGGCAGCTTCTGAAGATAACTCTTGTCAGGAAAGTGTGAATGCCTTAACAGCATTTCATAGTCTTTTGTAGGAGTTTCAACATGTCTTAAGAATGTTGATGAAATGTTTAAGTCATTTTAGAAGAAAGAATACATTTTTGTAACAGGTCTGTCTTTGGACCTCCAGATCCTGAATAATAACACAGAGAGTTTTTATTAATTATGAAAGCTTGGCCTTAGCTTAGACTTTTTCCCAAGTAGCTCTTAAAACTTAAATTAGCCCATGTATATTAATCTATGTTCTGCCACATGACTAACAAGTGACTAACTTCTTCTCAGTACCATACATACTCTATTTCTGGCTGGTGAACCTCCTTGCCTCAGATTCTTTTCCAGAGTTACTATCTCTTCCCAGAAGTCCATCCTTAGCCTCTCCTGCCTGGCTCTTTATTAAACCAGTCAGAAGATGCTTTAAGCAGGTGAGGTAAAACAGTTATGTTGTTTAAGTAGGAAAACTGGTACAAATGAAGATGAACATACTAAGTGAATTAATCCAGTCTCAGCAAGACATATCTTTTATTTCATACATAGACCCTAGATTCTTGTATAGGTACATAAAAGTAATGTGTGCATATATGACATGAAAGTAGAAGCAAAACTGCCCAGGAGAATAAAAGAACAATTTTTTTCTTTGTTACTCTGGTCTTTCTGAGTTTGCAGATAACACTGGGAGGGGGAGCCAGCTTTCAGACCTCTCGGAAGTGATATATCTGGGTCATGTGGTAAATCTATTTTTTGTTTGTTTGTTTTTGAGGGACCTCTATACTGATTTTCATAGTGGCTCAATTATATTCTCACCAGCAATGTATAAGGAGTTAACCTTTTGTCTACATCCTAGTTAGCATTTGTTGTTGGTTTTATTTTATTTTAAAATATATGTGTGTGTACATTATCGGGTACAAATATTCATAGAAGCCAGAGGTGTTGGATTCCCTTTAGCTGAAGTTTCAAGGTAGTTGTGAGCTGCCAGATGTGGGTGCTGGGAAACAAACTCTGATCCTTAGTAAGAACAGTAAGAACTTTTGACCTAAGAGCCGTCTTAAAGCCCTGTTTGTTTTCTTTCCTTCCCTTCCCTCTGCTTCCCCTTCCCTGTTTCTCCCTCCCTCCTTCCCTCTCTCCTTCCTTCCCATCCTTCCTCTGTCCATATGTCTGTCTTTTTCTTTCTTTTGTCTCTTGGAGTTGGAGACAGGGTCTCAGATATACGTCCTTGGCTGGCCTGGAATTTTCTACATAGACTTCAGACTCAAGAGATCTGCCTACCTCTGCCTCCTGAGTGCTGGGGTTAATGCACCACTACCTCTGGTCCCATTTGTTTTCTGACTGTGGTGGGATGGATCATAAAGATAGTTTTAATTGCATTTCATGATAGCTAGTGAGCATGAGTATTTTTCATTTGTTTGATGAACATATGCTTTATTTTTTGAGAACTACAGTTCATTAACCTATTTTTTTTTTATTTGTTTGCTTTTTGAGACAAGGTTTCTCTGTGGCATAGCCCTGGCTGTTCTGAAACTCACTTTGTAGATCAGGCTGATCTAGAACTCAGAGATTCACCTGTCTCTGCCTCCTGAGTGCTGGGGTTAAAGGTATGTGCCACTATACCCAGCTTCATTAACCCATTTTTAAAATATTCTGTGTTTAGTTCTCTTATTTGTAGCTAGCAAAGATTTTTCTCCCACTCTGTAGAAACTTTGTAATTTTATGAGATCCCAGTTGTCAGTATTTTAAGCAACTGAACTCTTACTCAGAAGGCCTTGCCTATATCTTTATCAAGTAGTATTTTCTCTGCTTCCCACTATCAGTTTCAGAGTTTTGATTATTTTATTCAGGTCTTTGATCCATTTGGAATTGATTTTTATTCAAGGCAAGATACAGAGATCTAGTTTAATTCTTCCTACATATGGAGATCCAGTTTTCCCAGCATCATTTGTTCAACAGGCTGTCTTATTTTTGGTGTAGGTTTCTGGTGTCTGTTAAAAATCAGGTGGCTGTAGTTGTGATCATATATCTGGGTCCTCTGCTCTAGTCCATTGATCTGCACATCTGATTTTGTACAGTAAAATATTGTTTTGTTGCTACAGCTCAGTAGTATAACCTTAAATTGGCTATAGTGATGCTTCCAGGATTATTAATCTTGCTCAGGATTGCTTTAGCTATTTGTACTCTTCTGTGCTTTCATGTGAATTTTAAAATAGTTTTTTCCCTATTTCTGTTACAATAGCATTAGAATTTTGATGGAGATTGCATTGAATCTATAGAATGCTTAAGCAGAATAACCATTTTCACAACATTATTTCTTAAAATTCGTGAGCATCATTGTTTACCTTTATTCTTAGATTTGCAGCCAACCTGGAATCCAGTTTCATGTAAAGCTAGAGAGTTAAGATTCATTTTGTTTTGTATTGCTAGCCAGTTGACCCAGTATCATTTGTGGGGTGTGTGTGTGTGTGTGTGTGTGTGTGTGTGTGTGTTGCGGGAATCCTGTCTGTAGAGCTATACCTACAGTTCAGAAGAATATTCTGAAAGTGTTTTTCCAAGATTGGACTGACAATTTGCTTGAATACTCTCTAGGTAGAAATATATTGTTCTTGGGCCAATGAGATGGCTCTGCAGATAAGCAGTTTGCTGTCAAGCCTAATGTGTAAGTTTGGCCTCCTGTCTCCTAATCACCGCATGATCACCATGGCACATGTACAGCACACACATACACATAACAATAACAATTTTATTTAAGAATTTGTATGTAACGGTAGCTTGTCACCTCTGAAAACTTTCTTAGTCTTCTGCTTCTACCACTGTGTGATTTTGGGATGGAATAGGGTTTTTGATCTTTGTTTGTGGATATAGTCTCAAAATAGGGAAGAGAGGAAGAGGAACAGTTATGAAAAAAAGAATCCTCAGCTCCCCATTTCATAGTAAGCTTACACAAAATAATGGTACAGGCTCTGACACAGATGACCTGAAACAAATCCTAGCTTTGCTGCTTATCTGCTTTCACTATGGCCTATTCTGAATTGAAACCTTGGAACAGTAACAGTAGTACTCTTTTATAGGGGTTTGTAAAACGTGGGTGTTGGTTTTGAATGTGTTGGCATTTGGTCATTTTGGCTATTAAAACAGTGGCACTATTAACATTGTTGTACATAGATTCTGATGTACAAATTATCTAGGATGTACACTTTGGTGAAGAGTATTTAGGTATGGCAATCTATTAATGACACCAAAATTTCTTTGAGAGGTTGGACCAATTCTCATTCTCACCAGAAGGGTCCATCAGTGCTTGCTGCGTGATACCCTTATCTGTTGCTCTTTTTCAAATGACCATTTTCGAGGAGTGCAGTGATACCATATGTAGATTATTGTTGGCTTGCTGTTTGGTTTCGAGACAGGGTCTCATGTAGCCATAGCTGGCTTCAACTGATTTCTACCTCAGCTCCCAAAGTTCTGGGGTTATAGACATGCACCACCAACATAGCCACATATATGGTTTTAATTTTGTATCTTCCTGATTGCTGCTTGGGTTGAAAATCTTCAGATTTTTATTGACCGTTTCGTGCATGTTTGTGCGTGTCCTTGTGCATTCTGGCAAGCGTTCTGATTTATTCTACAGTGAATTTGTTAGATATATGCAGTTACTCTCCATTTTTTGGCTTATCTATTTCGCTGTCTAATCTTCACTTGGTGAACATAAGTTATTCATTTTAAGGTAATG